GTCGGTGAAGGTCGTAGCTCCCAGCGAATTGAACAAATCGAGACGGACTTGTGCCACGTCGGACAGGAACATTTTTCCGAATTTAACAAGCCCGGATCGATCAAAGCCACGTGCCAGAGCCTCAGCCATTTGCCCGGCTCCAACAAATCCAACGCTAATGTCCTCCATTTCGGCTGGTGTTGAGATATTACCTCCTCCCCCTCCTCCTCCTCCTCCTTTTCCTCTTCCTCCTACTTCTACTTCCGGTTCTCCTCCTCGCAAGCCTCCCTCACCAACACGCTCACCCTCGCCACGTACTCTTCGTCCTCCCCTTCCCCTTCCTCCTCCTCTTGTACCAATCAACTGTCGGGAGGAAGGATTGGTCCGGATCCCGATCCCTGCAATCAATGGCGGATCAGACGAGGAGATGACGTCCCCTCCCTTCCTACTCCAACCACAACGAAAACATGTCCGAGCAGCGATGTCGTGACCCTCGCCGGCAAGATGGAAACCGCTACTCCTCCTCCTCCTCCTCCATGTACTCCTTCTAATACTGTCACCACCTTTACAATGCCGGTTGCCCTCTCTTCTTATTCTGCTGTCCTCCTGAACAACAGGGCCCTCGGCGACATTGCCGGCGGCCCCACAGGTCAGCCAGGGGTTGCCTCTTCGCCGCCCAAAGCGTTCGACACGAGTTGAAGAAACCGGGGGCGAGGTCCCACTGGCAAAGAGGATTGGATTGACTGCCTGCATCAGGACCTGTTTGTGGACACGTGCAGACAATCGAGATTGAACTGCTTTTCTGCACCTCTGCTTAAAACCCGTCCAGATTCAGGAGCTTAATCCAATCCTCTTTGCTAGTGGGGCCTGACCCCGGGGGCGGAGTTGGAAAAAAGGCGGGAGCCGGTGACGAAATGGCGGCAGATGGAGAAAAACCGGGGGCCAAGTCCCACTAGATGCATACAAATCACATAAATAGAGAATATAAATATAAATAAGAGAATATCACTATAAATATGCAATCAATAGAGTCTATACTATTAAATAGACTCTATAATTAATATGAATAATTAATATAAATAATTAATATGAATTTAACGGGGCATCTGGTTTTCAGGCCCGAAATTTCTGAAATTAGGGTTTTGGGCTCAAACTTCATGTTTTTTTGGAATTTCAAGTTTTTGCTATATATGCATTTTGATAGGGTTGCCGTATATGAAATTTGGGGTTATTTAGAGTTTTCGAATTTGCGCTGTTAAAATTTTTGAAATTTCTGAAATAGGTAGAGTTTTTTTTTTGCCAAATTTCATGGAAATGCACCTTTGGTTTGCTGTTTTATATGTTTTTAATTGCTTTTTTTAAGGTTTTTTTTTGTGATGGGGTCGTAAGAAGTGCACTCTATAGATTGGTGTGAAGTGTTGTTAAAATGACTGTCTGGTTTTCTTATAAATGGGGCTGAAAAATGGGTGCTCGGTTAACCTGCTCTCCTGCCGTGCCGATCGGACGGCGTCAAAAGCCTCCCGGTATTGATAGCAGAATTTTCCCACCCGCCGTGCTGTCGCCCAGTCTCATTTTCTGCTACTAAACCTTGCATGTGGGCCTAGGCCCCCGAAGGACGCTCAGTATCATTTTCTGCTACCTTGCATGTGGGCCGAGGCCCCTACGCGCCGAAGGGCATGCAGTCAATGACGGGAGCATATTCACCATCTCCCGCCATTTTCCATTTTCAACCGTCCCCTTCTGTCGTTCGACATCGACGTTTTTCACCGCCTCCCGCCGTTTTTTCACCGCCACGGGCCGGGGCCAGGTCCCACTGGCGTGTGTTCTTCATTCTTGACCGCCGATTGTGGCGGGAATATACAGATCCATGGCCAGAAATGAAGAACACCAACCAAACGTCCCGCCCCTCGCCGTGTGCTGCGCCGACATGTTTTTTGCCAATGAACACCTCCCGTTTGGGCGGGAAAGCTGCCACTTCCGCTCGCTGGGCTAACAACCGCTGGATTTTTTTACAATCCACGTCTCTTTGGAGTCGCAAAGATGTCGCTACTAAACGCAACCCTTGCATGTGGGCCGAGGCCCCAGGACATCCGTTAAAATTGGAACGATACAGAGAAGATTAGCATGGCCCCTGCGCAAGGATGACACGCATAAATCGAGAAATGGTCCAAATTAAATTTAAAAAAAGAAAAAAAAAGAAAATGATACTGAGCGACACCACGGCAGGCGGGAAAATCTTGTCTGCGCGGGTCCACTTTTTTTTCGTACACACCACTGACAGGGAGACTTTTGACACCTTTCGGTCCGCACAGCAGGCGGGCCATCAACCACCATGACGGGTCTTCGAATTGCTACATCTGTTGAGTTGTGTAAATACCCCTGCCTTCTTCACGTGTTACCGGAAGTGAGTGCTTCACACACGGGAGTAGCCTATTCGCGTTAGGCCTGCTCCACCTGCTTCACACATCTGTTGCCGATGCGAAGGCCTATTCTGCCCGCCAACAGACGACCGGCGTTTAGTTAGCTATGACATTTTTTTGACGATAGTAAACTAATTGTCCCGCGCCTCGCCGTGTGCTGTGCCGACATGCTTTTTGCCAATGAACACCTCCTGTTTGGGCGGGAAAGTTGTCATCTCCGCGCGCTGGACTAACGGCCGCTGGATGTTTTTACAATCCACGACTCGTCGTCGTCGCAAAGCTGTCGCAGCTAAACGCGACGCTGTGTAGTGGGCCAAGGCCCCAGGTCAACAAGAGCAGTTGGCGCAGTAATGACACCACTGACGAATTATAGCAGACCAGCCTGGTGGACCCGCTCCTGATCCAGCAGTTGGACCGCGAACTTCACATCCAACCCAGCTCACCCTGCTCGTGGTCCAACATTTGGACCACAAACTGCTGTTTTTTTTAAGGTTTGTATCTCAACAGTCCGTGGGTGTACCAACTGAGGGCATACTCACACTGGCACGCATTTTTGTAGGTGATTTTTTGGGTCACAAGGGCTACGTATTTTGCATTTTCACGCAAATGGGCACGTAAACGTCAGCGGCTTGGACATCTGCGGGGTTACGTATTTTGTGGGAACCTCTGGAGGTCCCCGCAATTTCTTTCTGGAAGCGTATTTCTTTTAGACCTGTTTCTTTATAGGGGAAAAAAATAAATAAATCAAGGTTTGGTGGGCAGCTCTCGTAAGAAAAAAAAAACAGGAAAAAGGGATGAATTTTTACGGATCGTGTTGTGTGACCCCTAGGCCCGTATAATCGCATTCCTAGAGCAGGTCGATACTGTGTCCTTTCTGTTTTGTGACGTACACGGGTGTGCTGTGTGACTGAGAAGTGTCGTATAATCGCAAATTGGCTCACATATAATTTGCGATTGTATGTGCTACTGTGAGTATGCCCTGAGCGAGGCCCGTTGGTTGGACTGTGACGCCCAACCTCACGCCCAGCGCGACTTCCTGATCGGAGTGGGATGTGGGCCTGGAAGTGCGAAAAGGGGTGTGACAAGGATTTTTGGGGAAGTGGGGGAGTCTTAAGGGTATGAATGCAATTAGGCGAACGAGGGGTGCGTGCGCAAGGGTCTCACAGTCCGAAGGGGCCGGGACACTGTGGGCGACGGGTTACAGGAAAATCCCTCCGTGGTGGAGATGGTCCCGAAAAGTTAGGCCGTCGGGGGCCGCCACGTGGCGCAGGCCGCCACGTACCTGGGTTGGGCCTTCGGAATTCCAGAGTTCTTTGTGTGCCGCTACATCGACAGTTCACGCAAAACGTATTGGGCCAATAGGGGGTTATGGCCGGCCACGGAACGACACTGAGTTGATGATACGGGAGAAGAAGGCGGAAAGGAGGAAAACTGGTGGTGATGGCAACAAATCCCGGGTGGGTGAAGTAGTAGGTGTGGTCGGGAGAAGGAAAATCGGAGCNGAGAAGAAGGCGGAAAGGAGGAAAACTGGTGGTGATGGCAACAAATCCCGGGTGGGTGAAGTAGTAGGTGTGGTCGGGAGAAGGAAAATCGGAGCACCGAGGGTCGCTAGAGGTGGCACAGTGGAATTCCCGYGGACATAGCTGATTCTCCGAGTGACAGGGGTATCGYGTCCTTATGAGCTCGTTTATCATAGGGGTGAAATAGTCCGGCTCGTAGGACAAGTCTGAGCTCCAAGATCGCRTCATGGTATCATCGTCGATGGGATAGCTCGGGTCRGGATATCGTCACCGYGCACGAGCACGTGCAGGGCAGGTAGATCAGTGGCGCCTCGTACGGGATGATGGTTCCGTCGYGAATCCCTCTTGGGTGAGCAAATCGTCGTATGGGAACGCGCRTAAGGGCGCGACTARGATCACRTTTTACGCGTGTTCTCGCGCGACGTTTCACAGGGCCAGACTTCGGATCGTCTAATGGCTTCGGAAGTTTYGATTATGCAAGATGCAACCATATCACAATCCCCATCRTGAGACAAGCAAAGACGAGAAYAAAATCACTATCGGGGCYAGMTTCTTATCCCATCTCCGGCTGCATCAGGTGTGGGCAAAAATTTGACACAAACAAAAAGCAAGGACAGGGATTCTTAGCAAAAAGATATACAAGCAGGCGTAACGTCCACACATCCATACATCCATACATTYGATAATCATACAYATAATGCAATCGGGACGGAYATAGCAAAGACAAGTGTGAGCAAAAAMCCAARCCCARATTTCAGAAAGCCGAAACGGAAATAAGAACGGGCAAACCTCCCGGAGCCGCAATCAAAATGTATGTACAAAGATGAAGAGGGGGAAGAGACAAGAAAACAGCAAATCCGCGTCCATCGACCTCAACTCTCTCCTCTCTCTCTTTCTCTCCGATGCRGACAGTCYGTCGTCACGCACCAACCCACGAAGTTGTCACCCCGCTTAGTCCTCCCGCACCCGYCGGATYCGCCCGTGCCYACAGTCCGTCGTGGCCCACGTCAATCCCGCGCGCTCAGCACCAGCCCGTCGGGTCGCCCAACTCCTACTCTACTYACCTCTTACTTCRCTCGTGTGCCGATCCTTCCTGATCGCGCAACCYCGAGCTTCCAACAACGGGTTAAAAGCTGACTAATCGCGCAGCCGAAATTTATAGYGTRCACGCATGCRCGAAGAACACGRAATTACTAGGACTTAGAGTGAGGATTAGAGAGGGAACGCCTGYGTTCTGCATGATCGRCCGCGGCGTGGGGGACGTAACCCTTCTCCACGCATCGATCCGAGCAYGCAAGCCGCGACTTACAAAATKTCAGCAAAAGAAAGAGAAGGAGGGSGGGAGAGACGAAGTGCAAGAAGAGAGATACAGTTACRATGGCGCCCRCCCAAAATTACAGTTAYACATACGATTAAGGGCGCCCACTAATCAGAGTACYGTTGYAGCCGCATGAAGAAGCGCRTRAACAAAAGKCGCCGCGCGRCAGAAAAAGTCMTAATTACTGAATTCCTAAATTCCTATCTACTGCGAAAAAGCAAAAAGCACAAATTCYAGAAGGAAAGTCCAAAATTCYGAGAGYCATTTGGGGCTCGACAAAATTCGAAAAAAAAATCAAAAAAAAGAACGAAGCAATTTCCCGCGCGATGTCCGCGCCCAAAAGATCGAAACCGAACCAAAAGAAACNCTCGACAAAATTCGAAAAAAAAATCAAAAAAAAGAACGAAGCAATTTCCCGCGCGATGTCCGCGCCCAAAAGATCGAAACCGAACCAAAAGAAACAACGTCAACATTTAATCGCGCGCGGGCGTGGTGTCGCGCCAAACATCCATCCGACCAATCAATCCACCGGCCGTCCCAAGACACACCCGACCCCGTGTTTGGCCATTCGAAAAAGAAACGACGAAAAAAGACGAAAAAGCGAGGACACTGATGCAATTCTCCACCGATCCTGATCTCCCGTAATTGGCCCAATCTTCCCAGCTTAGGACCCCTCATTGCAACTGCGCAGAAAATCGCGCGTTACAGAAAGTGGTTCGTCACATATGTGACGCCCAGGGGGTTCCAATATTAGCAAGCTCCTACTTGCTTGTTGACACGTGTCGATTTCTTTAATCGATCGACACGCGAAGCACTTTCCTTTATGCCACTTCCCGTTTGATTGCGTGTGGACGCCATCCAACGTGGCAATGCTGCTCTTCTACCAGTTCCTCAGACTGGGCTCTCGATGATCTAAGGACGGGACCTTCCTCGTGCCGTCGCCGCGACACGCGTCCATTATCGCTGCATCAGTAATTAATCGGAAGGGGGAAGGGAAGGCGATACGCATATGAGGGAGGGCGGGGCGGCTCCATCGTAAGCTCGGGTATGAAGCGACCGATCGTAGTGAGTCGTAGGGAAGTTCTTGAAAACGGACAATGCGATGGAAGCGGGGGAATCGCTGGCCGCTGCGGGGAAGGGAAGCGAGGTAGTCTGGGTAAAGGGAGACGAGGGTTCTGAGGACGTTTGTGCGGAACCGATCATGGTCCTCGCACGTGGGGAAGGTCCCCGTAACGATGCAGTAAACCTCTATACGGTTACGTCCTCGCCACGCAGCGCTAAGGAGTAGAACGTGGAGGGGGTAATCGGGGACAGCACACTGAAAGGAAGGGTGGGGGTGGTTAGTCAGTTCTAGGCGGGCGGAGTAGAAATGTCGGAAGGTGGCGATGGGGAAGGGATTACGGGGGTAGACGACGCGATGGAAATACTGATTGAAAGATAGATAGCTAAGGGGATGGTGGTATATGGATCGGGGACGAAGGGCTAAGCCCCTCATTGACACGTTGACGAATTGGGGGACGTGCGGAGACGGAGGGGGACGTGGATCGGGATCGGGGTCGACGCCTTGTCTTCGCGGCTCTTGAGATCGTGGTAGCAAGGTCTCCATGCTTCGGCTTGGGTGGCTCGGGATCCTTGAAAGGATTGTTTGGTGCGGGATCGATCGCCAGTCGCTTTCCTTCCGCGATCTCTTTCTTGCGCTGCGCAGCAGCCTCAGGGTTTTCCTCTCGTCGATCCGGTCCTGGCACCCACTCGAGCTCGTCGTGCGTTGGCTCCGGGTCATCCCCGCTTTCCACTTCTTCGTCGTCTTCGTCCTCCTCCTCACTTTGCTCACCCTCGCTGTACTCACTATAGGCCTCTTCCTCTTCCTCCGAAGTCTCCTCCTCTGCTTCTTCTTCTTCTTCTTCCTCAGCTTCCGCCGACTCTTCTTCTGCTTCGCGCTCTTCTTCCTCGTCCTTGGCCAATCCGGCCGCTGCTTCCCCGGCCTCTTTCCTCAATTCTCCTTCCGATTCCTCTTCGGCCTCCTCTTCTGCTCTCAGCGCCGCCCACTCGAACGCCGTTGATTGCTGAAAGAAGCGGGGATTAGTCATGCTGTGGACGTCCAGGTACTCGCTACGGGAGGGAAAACGGTCGTCCGCCCAGCGCTCCTCGATACAAGCCGACCACTGGAGGCTTGGGGCGAGAGTTCTTGAGAGGGTATGTGGCACGGGTTCTTCGTCGCTCTAAGAGACGATGTCGAGGGGGAGTTCGTCGGCCAATTGCGCGATCACGATCGTAAGTTTGCTCACAATCTGTGATCGGTTTCCCCGATCCACTGCTCCAAAGACGAATCCCAGAAGATCTCCCGCCACGTTGGTCCTCCACGCCTGAATGACGAGCAACTCCACAATCTCCGACGCGGGCCTCTGATCGCCTTCCCACGTCCAGTTTAGATCCACTCGTAGCAGGCAAAACGAGAGCTCCACGAATTCTGCATGCCGCAGCCTCCAACGGTCCGGATCAACGATGGGTACTGTCAGCGGTTCGAGACGGAAAGAGAGACGAGGGTAGTGAGAGGACTGCCAGAAGATGGGGAAGAGAGAGGGAGGAGAGAACGTCGAGATCGGCGCGCGGCTCATCTGCGCGGCTGGAAGGGAGCAAGTTCTGGGAGGACGACAGGTGGCTCGCGTAGCGTCGTGAGCAGCGTGCTGACTTCGCCGTGCCTTGTGAGTCGTCGATCCCAATCAGTGGCCAAATCGCGACCCCACCGGTACAAGGTGCTTTTGATGGCGGCTTGCCGTGCCGGATCGAAGGCGGTGATGTCGTCGCTGAAGACTACCACGGTAGACACATGGCTGATTCTCGGGGCCGCTTGCCGTTGGAACGTCGTTGCCTCGGCCAGCACCACTACATGGGGATCGCTCGTGAATCGGAACTCTGCCGCGCCGTATACACCCGCAGTGCAGAAGAACTGCGCAAGGCGCATGAAGTCGGGGCTGATCCGCGGATGATGCACTTGGTGGATAACTGAGATCTCTCCCCGTGGCATCAACAACTGATCACTGAAAGCTTGCTCGATGGCGAAACTCATGGCAATGGCGGGGGTGACGGGGTGGCAGAGAGGGAGCAGGAAAGAGAGGGAGATGGCGGAGAGTCAGAGCCGTCGTCGCCGGCTTCCTCAGAAGGAGAGATCGAGGGAGAAGGAGACGGATCAGAGGGAAGGAGGCGAAGATAGGACACGTGGCGTGTGATCGGACGAGCCGATCGACTGCCAGAGACTTCAGGGGCGAGACGCATGGTGTCCACGCCGTTGGGGCCGAGCTCGATCACGCGATATCGTCCGAAGAATCGTGGCGCTAGCTTACCCTGGCGAGCACATTTTTTCACCTGCACCACGTCCCCCAATTTGTACTGGGGCCGCGAACCCGCATTCCCATTTCGGGCCTCGTAGCTCCGGACCTGTCGGCCCTGGGCTAGTTCAGTCATTTTCTGTCACTTTCGGGCTAGCCTGGGCAGCGACCGTTCCATTAACTATAGGTGCCGTTTGGCCTTGTCCCGAGCCGTGGCCCTGGTGGGCCGTCGGTTCAATGTAGACTTATCTGGGAGGCTTGGTATCGAAATACAAGCGACACTATTGGTCCTTAATTGGAAGGGGCTCAGCCCCGTCGATTCGTGGGGCGTTCCGCGATGGACCGCCAGGATGTGACCGACGATATCGGGCCAGGGTCTCGGATCCCGTGCCGCAATGTTTCGTCGCAACGCTGTCTTTATCACCCGGTTAGCGTTTTCGACCAGCCCATTAGATTGTGACATGTGGGGTGCAGTGTTCCATATGGCGACGCCATGTAGGACCAAATTCCTTAACACTTCTCCCCTGAATTCAGCCCCGTTGTCGGTCAGGATCTCTTTCGTATCCTGATGCATCCCGAGGAAGCGGTTGACGTATCGCGCGATTTTCGTGGCTTGCCACGTGAGACAAGGATACGCTTCGATCCATTTCGAGAAATGGTTGACAAATACCAATAGGACTGAATATTCGCAACTATTAGGGCCAGGGGGCACCACTATGTCGGTAGTGCCCATGCTTACTCTCTGAAATGGCCGTTCAACAACCGTGGGCACTATCGACCTTGGTGGCTGAATCGGCGCCTTATCAGCGACGCAGACTTGACAGTTGGCGACGATGTACTTCACATCGTCGCGGATATTGGACCAGTACCACTCATTTTTGTCGATAGCGGACTCCGTGATTCGTACGGCAAAATGGGCCGCAGTTTTCTCGTGGGCTGTCTTAACCCAGTCATACCGCATGAACGGGTGCGGCACTATCATCAAAATCCCACTACCATTCGTTTTCCGTTTTTCTAATCTACCTTCTATCCATCAATAATCCCGAGCCCTTTCGTTGGCCCTCCTCCGATCTTCCTTGGTGAAATCCTGGAGGGGGTTACCTACTAGGGTGGCAATTAAGGCAATATCCGTYCATACTTCGGCCSTTCTAAACTTTCGGGTCTTTTCCAATCCTTCTGACGTGGCATCCAAAAATCGAGCCTCGGTCGGAATTTTGTCGGTCCGGCACAAGGGGCACAACCACGGTTTACTATCGTTCCTGTATTGGATGCACGAGCCATGGGCBCGCGCAACACACTGTCGGCAATCTATCCAATCCGCATATCCCACCCCGTTAGGACGCATGGAGACCGAATAGRCACGGGAGATAGCTTCGCAAAAATAGCAAAATTTGTCARGCAGGGAGGGAAAAGACGATGAGGACGGGGGAGAAAGAGGGGTACTGGGGTTACCTCCATCACCCATCGCCACCGTTTTGCTTCTTGCCACGTGGGAGAACTGCCACTTGTCCGTACTTCGGCTCGTTAGTCAGGTCCGACTCTTTCCACGATGTAATTTCCTTGACCTTTGGTACCTTGGCAGGTCGATGCAGACGTGTCAGCCCGTCCGCGTTGCCGTGTCGCTCTGTCTTCCGATGGACGATATCGAAGTCGTATTCTTGTAGTCGCACCGTCCAACAACCAATCATGCCCGTGTAGTTGGTGAGTTTCTTCAGCGCCAGCAGAGGCTCGTGATCCGTTACGAGGCGAAACTTCTGTCTGTAGAGATACGGATGAAAGTGTTGGATTCCCCAAACTACCGCGTAACACTCACCCTGAGGAGCGGAGTCGTTTCTTCATTCGTCCGGCACGGTTCGTGATGCGAACTCGATGACGTGTTCACGACCATTGTTCCCCTTCTGCGCTAGAATAGCGGAAATAGCCTCCGGTTGCCAGTCCGTGATGAGAATGAACTGCTTCGAGGGGTCCGATCGAATCAAAATAGGGGCCGTTGCCAGAGTGTCCTTGAGGGTTGCAAAGGCCTGTTGGCACTCCGCGTCCCAGCTGAGAGGCTGGTCCTTCCGTAGCAGATTCGTTAGTGGTCGTGCAATCGCGGCAAAGCCCTTGATGAAGCGTCGGTAGTACGACGCTAGTTCCAAGAAGGCTCGAACCTGCGTCAGTGACATGGGAACCGGAGCTTCCTTCACCGCCGCAACTTTTCTCGAGTCTGGCCGCAATCCTCCATGTGTTACGACATAGCCCGATAACGAAATTTCCGAGAGGAAAAATTTGCTCTTCTCAAGCGCGATCTTGAACCCAGCGTCTCTCAATGCACCCAATGTCCATTCGATGTGTTGCGCGTGCCCGTGATAGGTTTCCGAATAGACCAGGATGTCGTCCATGTACACGATCGCGCAGAAGTTAATCATTCCTTGCGTCAGCCGTGTCTTGTTGACGAAGTTCAGGAACGTCATGTTCATCGCTCGTTGAAACGTGGCAGGCGCATTGCAAATCCCCATCGGACACCGAACCCACTGCCACGTGCCCTCAAACAACACAAAGGCCGTTTTCGACCGATCTTCTTCCCTTACCAGAATATGATGGAAGCCATGCCGAATATCAAACTTGTTGAAATAATGAGCGCATCCAATCGCATCCAACAGATCATCAATCCGGGGGAGGGGATACACATCTTTGATCGTGATTTCATTCAGCTTGCGATAATCAATGCAAATGTGAATTGCTCCGTTCATCTTTGGTACTAACACTACGGGAAAAGACCAAGGTCCAGTAGCGGGTTCAATCCAACCACTGGCTTCGAACTCCCGAATTCGTTCGAGAGTTTTTTTGCGTTCAATCAAGGAATAGCGATAAGGTTTGCAATGAATCGGAGAGTTATTTCCTGTCTGAATTTCATGTTGGATTACTAACGACAACCCAATGTCAGTGTCTGACACACTAATCGCTCCTTGATATTCCGTTAGAATATCTGCAATTACCCGGTGGATTTCGTCCGGCACATATTGTGGAACGTGCAGTTCAAAAAGTTGGTCCCAGATCTGAACATCAATTTGTTTCATGTTCGCCTGTTTTGTCAAGTTGGGTGGAGGCGCCGAGATGAATGAATGATCCGATCGCCAGGAGAACACCGTGGCCATCATCTGGACATCTTCCTCTCGGATTGCCACGTGTCCTTCTGGGGTAATCCCGTCACAAACATCCTGCCATGGCACTTCCTTAGTTGCGATCTTTATCCCCAGTCCGTCTGTTTTTGCTTCAAAACGCCCAGGGGGTTCCAGAGAGCTTGCTTCCGCCCCCAAGCGTAACAATCTCACTTCTTTAGCCGAGGTTAGTAAGGACTTGGGTAGATCCGTAATGTCACAGTAATGCTTTTTGTCGCTGTACCGAGCGAGGAGAGGGGTGATTCCTTTGTACAGAGTTCGAGGGGGTTCCAAAGAATCGACCATCCTCGAAATCTGCACGAGGGGCTCACCCAAGATCATCGCCTTGGTCCTTTGAATTTTTCGGCTGGTCAGTTGCATCGTTCTCGCTATCGTTTTGGGCGGCGGGTAACAAACACCTTGTCGTGCCAATTTCAAGATTTCCGGATCATCCTCGTCACTGCTTTCCGCATCATCTGTTGATGACTCTCCCTCTGCGGATTCTCCCAGGAGATCATGCGGAGAGTCCCTGCCATCATCGGCGAAACCCGTGGAACCGCGTTAGTAGTAGTGCGAAGGGTCAATCGCATGGGCACAACGTAGGGTTTTCCTTCTGTATCTCGGAGGACGATCGATCGTCGTTCGAAGTCCAGGTTTGCTCGTAACGCCACAAGAGCGGGAAGTCCGAAGAGAACGTCGTACGTATTGACATCTAGTACTACGACATCCCCAAGCGCATGCACTTTACCCAATCGGAAAGCGACATTGGTAATTCTTCCCACGGTTTTAATTCTTTCTTCGTCCGCCAAAACGAGCTGATCTTTCTCAGAAAGCGTGATCAGGTCATTTTTCCTACCTGCCCTTTCGACCACTCTCAGTGAGATAGCCAACACAACTGCTTCCGAATCTATAATAGCATTGTAAGGAATTCCCCAAATTTCTATATCGCACTCGGCGGATTTCCACGGAATTGGTTTAATCCGCAGGAAATGATCATCTTTCTGGATTAAACCTACCCGTATCGGATCCGAAGTACTTGCGGGGTTTTCTTCGGGCGCGGGGTTTTTGGCTTTCGCGTTCGGGGTTCGGGCAAGGGCGAATCGCTTTCGGTTCGCTTTGCAATGCTGTAACATTCGCTCGTTGGCTTGCTCGGAGATCGAGAGCAGATGACCAATCGGAAGGGGAATCCGATGGTCCAAAGCTCGGATGATGTTTAATACATTGATCTCCCCTGTGACGAAGGTGGGTCCTCCCGACTCCTTTTCTCCTAGGGACGGTCGCCACTCCGCCACCTCTTTCGGTTCTGGTGCTGGTCGGATTGTTCCGATCATTCCAAGCCCGGGATATCCTAGCAATATGTACTGGTCTAGCGGGATTAGCTCGGCGGCCTCTTCCAAGGTAGCCAGGGCACTTCCCCCACCCTCTATTTCTTCCATCAGGCCTCCGACTCGTCCAGGTCCGTTGGCGATGGGAGCCGCAGCCATAGGTGCGGCTCCGATCCGCTGTTGTGGGGGTTGGTGGGGGTAATCACGGGCTAGATGTCCGGGCTGATGACAGGCATAGCAGACATTCAGATTGTTCGCAGCTCCCCCGAGAGCAGGGGCTTGGGCTAATCCTTGCTGCATCGGAGGGGCACGCACCGCAATGGGTCGCATGTTCCTCATCATGGCTTCCAGCCGAGCACTGTGCTCTCGTTGCTCCTTTTTGCTTTCTTGGATCAAACTAATCAAGGTTTTGGTTAGTTCGAAAATGGCCGCCGATTCGTTCGATCGTACAGGAGCCTCAACCGGCGGCGGGGGTAAGGCCCTGACGGGCGGGGGTATCATAGGAGCAGAGATGCTCGGAGTTTCGCTTAGGATTACTCGTTTGGGGCCTATCTGTTCCATATAGGTGACAAGTCCTGATACAAACCCCATGTTTTCAAATTTGTTCTGTAAAGCAGCCAGCTCTGCTCTTGCTCGTGCAAGCTCTGTCGAATCTCCGTCTCTAGGGTAGTCTTCTCCTTCTAGGAAGTTCGCCGCGAACTTCCGTTCCATTTCTTCCTCAACAGCCATAATTTGTTGTAACGTATGGGTGATGGGGGAAAATTGCTTTCGCAACTTAGCCCTTACTGTCCGGCTGCGGAGTCCGTCAATGAACAAATCTCTCCCTACTTGCTCACCTCGCTCAGTTTTTACGAACATTTTGTAGAACCGGTTTCGATATTCCGCAACGGATTCGAGCGGTTTTTGCACCCGGTCCTTGATCATGTACAACACTTGCTCAGGGTGGACATAATCAAATCGGTTCATAAAATCTCGTTCGAAGGTCGGGAGATCCACCCATACATAGGTACTATACCAATGATGGGCGCCTCCTCCCATTCGGGCCGGAATGTTGATCTGTGCTTCGTGATCATCGTACTGCTCTGCTCTAAGCGTGGCCAGCCATGCTCCTACGAGATGCTGCGCTGGATCAAATAGATAGAGATCTGGTGGCGACATGGGAGCTCGTGCACGTGGGGCAGGTTGATTGGGTGGATTAGCATTTTGGTGCGGAACCGGATTTTGCACATTGGCAGCCATATTGGCTGCTCGCCGGTTAGCCGATCTGCTTCTGGTGACGATAGGGTCGCGTCTATGTGCGTTCCGAGGGCGAGGTCGCCCACGGTTAGCCAGGTCGCCTAATTAACGTGCTGTCAATCCCAAGACCCTAGCCACGTGTCGGGCTCCAATACCAACCTCACGTCCAGCGCGACTTCCTGGTCGGAGTGGGATGTGGGCCTGGAAGTGCGAAAAGGGGTGTGCCAAGGATTTTTGGGGAAGTGGGGGAGTCTTAAGGGTATGAATGCAATTAGGCGAATGAGAGGTGCGCGCGCAAGGGTCTCACAGTCCGAAGGGGCCGGGACACTGTGGGCGACGGGTTACGGAAAAATCCCTCCGTGGTGGAGATGGTCCCAAAAAGTTAGGCCATCGGGGGCCGCCACGTGGCGCAGGCCGCCGCGTACCTGGGTTGGGCCTTCGGAATTCCAGAGTTCTCTGTGCGCCGCTACGTCGGCAGTTCACGCAAAACGTATTGGGCCAATAGGGGGCTATGGCCGGCCACGGAACGACACTGAGTTGATGATACGAGAGAAGAAGGCGGAAAGGAGGAAAACTGGTGGTGATGGCAACAAATCCCGGGTGGGTGAAGTAGTAGGTGTGGTCGGGAGAAGGAAAATCGGAGC